CAGCAGCCGTGGGAAGGGATGCCGTCTCACAGTTGGCAAACTGCGTAGTGGCTGCCGTATAGCCTGAGGTTGGATGTTGCTGTAGTTAGCCACTGCGGTGTGAGATGTTGTCGCGGGAGCGTGAACGTTCCCTGGTGTGAGTGGTAGTGTGGATGTTGGTAGCAGGGGTGGCTTGTGGTGGGGGGCCTGTCCAGTATGAGTGTAGACGTGCTGCGTCTTGTGGTGGGGTACGTGGTGAGGGAGAGGGTGAACGACTGGAAAGTCCGGGTGGTAGTGGAAAACCTGGCGGTATGTCGTGTATAATGGCCAGGTTTCTGCTGGAGAGTGAGGCTGTGGGGTTGATGCGGTATTGTCCTGGGAGCCCGGGGCCGGTGGTGACAAATTGAAGTAGTCGACGAGCCTGGGAGAGGTTGTCAATCAAGCGGTCCAGCAAGATCAGGTCACCGCGCATTCGGTAAAGGAGGTTGTATGCTCGCTGGTCTTGAAAATAGGTTTGGCTTGGCATAGGTTCTGTGTGAAATGGGTGATGGCGGAGGTGTTGGTTGACCATAAAGAGGAGGTCCAAAGGGCTGTTGAAGGATTGAAAGTCAGGCTGGGTGCCAATCGAAGGTTGGAGCCAGTTCGGAGGGCGCTGTGGCAGGTAGTGCTCTGTGTCGGCGGTGTTGTTATGAGGGCGAGCGCGAGGATTGGCCATGACAATTGATGGAGTAAAATGGCGCACAAAGGGCTGCGGAGCTGAAGTGAGCCTGAAAACTGACAAAACGAAGTTGGGCAAACTGGTGAAAGGAGACTGGGCTTGAAAAACTAAGAGTCTGTGCACGTCAGCGGATTTGTCCTGCAGCACGCCGTAAAGAGAGGTGGGTGAAACGGGTCAAATGAAATAACTGCCAACAGGCGTAAGTGGAGATTTCTCCGGATGGCTGTCTTCACTAAGTGCTCGCTCAGCGGCCGGCGTCAGCAGCACAGCAGCAGGAGTCGTTTGATGTGGTGGAGTCGGTGGCGTTGTTTGGGGGGGAGGGGGAGAAATCCGGTTGTGAATGTGGTGCTGGGGAAACTGCTGGTGATGTGGGTGTTGGTGATGGGGAAGGTGCTTGTCTTGGTGGTGCGGTTGGTAGTGGTGTGGAGAAGAGCTGTTGGTCCTGCTGACGTTGCATGTCTTTGAGTTCTTGCCATCGGGCCTGGCATTGCTCTACGGAGAAGCCCACGCGGCGAGCCACAGTGGTCCAGTTGGGACGAAGTCTGGGGTTTTCTTTGAGTTCGACCAAGCGACAGTCGGCGTCGCCGTCCCAAGCATCCCAGTCCGCCTGTTGGTTCAGTGGTGGTGGGGGTGGTTGCTTCCGCTTGCGTGTTGTGGTGGGTTGTGGATCTGGGGTTGTTGTGGGAGTGTCGTCTGAGTCTTTTGAGGGTGGTGGTGGTAAACGGAGGGGTGGTCTGGATGGTGCTGAGTCGCAAGAAGAGGTAGTGGATGGTAAACGTATAGGGTGGTTGGGCGGGGTTGGAAGTGGCTGAAAGTGTTGGCGGAAAGTGGGATCCACTTGGTGGATATGGTGGAGTAGCTGAGTGTGGAGGTGTGCTATACTATCGGTTGCTTGTCTGAGTAGGTTTTGCAGCTGCGAGAGTACCACTGTGGTTCTGTGTATGAGAGTTGAGGTGTCGTTGCGTAGAGGTGTCGGTGTGCTGCTCATGATTCGGAGATGTAGGGATGTACAATAGCACGGAATCGTCACTGGTTGCTGCAGCAGCGCGCCAAAGCAGCCGGACAGCGGCGAGTCTGAGGGAGCGCATCATCACGAGGTCGTGCATATGAATTAAACGAGCATCAAATTTCCACAGGCAAAGTACGAAAATGCAATGCCGATTGAACAGTCAAGTACATGAGAATCTGACATGTGAAATACTTCATCAGAACAGCCGAAATAAATTGAAGAAAAAGTTCCAGCAAACACTGCAGAGCTTGAAAAATTGAGGGTTCAAAATTCGCGTGGCCGCTGCGGGAGGCTCTTTTTGGCTGCTACGAGCAAAGGTTAGGTGGTGGTGTGAGACCAAAAGTGGATGTGGAGGTGGTGGTGGTGTAAAGATGTGGGATAGTGGTGTTATGTGTCCGGTGGAGTGGAGTTTGTGGACCAGGCCAGTCCTTTGACAATGGCGTGGTCCGGGTGGATCACCCAGCAGCGGCCCTTCTGATGAAAGACTGCACCATGGTGGTCGTTGAGGAGGTTCATGGCGTGTTCCTCACCTCCGGAGGTATATTTTGTGGCCGCACCCCAAGCAAGGAGTGTGATGATAAGGGAATGGGAGTTCTTGTGGAGTTGCCAGGTGTTGTGGATGATGCGGGCAAGTTCGTTGTGGTCATGGGGTTGGTTGTGGGTGATGCGAACGCCCTGGGCAAAAAATCCAGGGTAGTTGGCAGAGTGGAGTGTGCTGGGTAAAAATCGGCCTTGGCGTAGAATGTTGGAAATGTTGCCGACGGGGCCTGTGTGGCCTGCGTTGATGTGGGCGACTTCCCGGTGGGTTGATGTGGCGCGGGAAACCGCAGGTGGTTCTGGTGTAGTGGCTTTGGTGTTGAGGAAAGGAAGTGAAATGGCGTAGTACTGGAGTTGGTCGTATTGGTGAGTTGTGTCGTTCCACTTGGCGTGAGTATATTGTCGGAAATCGGTGATCTCCTTGTAGGTGATGTTGCAGTCTGTGAGGATATTGGCAATGTACTGGTGTTGTGGGCGGTTGGGATTGTCGAGTTGGGTGGCATGGAATTCGAGCCATTCCAGGATTTGGTCTGCAGGTGTAAAGGTGTGAAAGTTGTTTGGAGGTCGCCAACGGTTGATTGGGCGACGGAGGACGGCTGTGGTGGGAAATTGAGTGGGGTCTGGGTTGGTGTGTTCAGTGTTAGGGCGTAAATCAATGGGTTGTGGTGGTGAGCGACTGCGGGATGGCGTAAGGCTGGATGTGGAAGTGGATGTTGAAGGTGACCGCCGTCGCCGGGTAGTGCTGTGATGTTTGGAGTGGCGGTGATGGCGATGTCGGCGGCGGTGACGGTGGCGTCCTCTGTGGTGATGGTCGGACTTGCGTCGGCTCTTGTGGTGGTGGCGGCGACTGCTGTGTGGTGGTTGCGGGAAGGTGGTTGTGGTGCTGGTGAGGCATTGGTGCCAGGTTTGTCTGGTGCTGGTAGTGAAGATCCGGGGGCTGGTGTGGCTGATACTAGCGATGGGGATGCAGAGTGTTGGGAGACGGTAGCTGGAGGGGTCGTGTTTTGGACCGGCAATGGAGTGTCCGGGGCAGTCGTGGGGATGGGTTGGATTGGTGGTGTTGGATCCGATGGTGGCTGCTGTTGGGGTGGAGGTTGGACTGGTGTTGAGGCGTTGATGATTTGTGGAGGTGGTGGCGGGGGGCAACGGTTGGGGTGGAGGCTGTGTGACTGGGGGAAAGGCTGAATAGGGCTGCCAAACGCCTTGGGGGATGGCGCATTGGGGGTCTGTGGATGGATGATTGGTAATCGCAGTCTGTTGCTGTGTTGGAGGGGGATGGGTCAGGGTATTGGGGGGAGGAAGTTCTGCCGGTGGTGTGGGATGTTGTGGTGGTAACAGGTATGAAGGGGGAGGTGCTGCTGTCGGAAAAACTGGAGTTGGATGTGTGGGCTGCGGTGGCACGTGACATGGTTGCACAAACGTCCAAGTGGATGGTGTGCCGTAGGTCAGTGTAGTGGCGGTAGGGTTGGACAAAAAAAGGTGGTGGTTGAAATGGTTGTGGTTGTGGGTGAGGGTATGCCGATGGGTGTGTCGTGGGAAAAGTGGGTGCAGTTGATGGCTGTGGCAGCGGCCATGTGGGTTGAGGTTGTGTGGTGGGTAATGGTGGTGGCGTGGTATGAGCGTAGGGCCACGGAAAATGCATGTCGTGGTGGTAGCTATGGCGCGGCGCGGCGCGGCAGCAAAAAGCAGCGGAGAAGTGCCGAGTTGTATTGTCTTGTTGTTGTTGAAGGTGTCATCTCTGGTGTCGATGGTGAGTATGTTGTAAGGTGGTGCTAGATGTAAGCTTGTTGGTAGATGTGTGTTCATGCATCTCGAATTAAGCTGAAGAGCTGTAATGCCCATCCTTGAGTTCTGTCGATAAAAGAATCACGGCATCAATATAGCAAACGTGGAAACACGCACATGATTTGAAGACATGAAATGAAATGACGGATCCGAGATCTGAAAGCTGAAAACTGGAAACTGAGAGTTGAAATCCGATGTATTCTTCAAGGAACCGTTTTTTGGCCCGGCGGCCGGTGTGGCAGTTGATTCTGTGAGGGTGTCGGTGCCTTCCTGTGAGAGTCCAGTGAGCGGTGGTGCGTTGGGGTGGTTGCTTTCCCATGCAAGGTCGGCGCCCCTGTGACGGGGATCACACTCAGCACCCGAGTGGGACGGCTGAGCAGGACACACTTCGAACTTGGGTTTTCAGTTAACGCAATTGTCTCGGTGAGAAGGAAGGTGATGGAACAGCAAGGCGAAAAGGTCCAAAGACTTGAATTGTTGAAAAAAGTTTCACTCGCGCGGCTAGCTGCAAAGCACAAGCGGCTGACTGTAACTCTCCGGTGGCTGAGGACTGCGGTGGGAAACCTGTTTGAGGGGAGAGTATCGTGATCAAACAACCATGGCATCAAACCACAGCAAGGAAGAGTGGAGTGGTATCACGGCGCAGGTACGTTTTCCTGATCGTCCAGTGTGGAGCTTCGTTGGCAGAGGCCACGACTGGAGATCCCTCTGCCCCCTGCTCTTGTAAGATAGAAAGAGTGGTGGTGGAAAACCCTTTGTCCAGGGTTGGACACACACACACACACATATATATATATATATACACACACCTCTTGAACTGTGAAGTCTTATCACCGGTGGCTTATGGAGTTTCCATGGGGAAAACACCTTTTCGACACCTGACATGGCTGTGGGTCTGCTGTCCCGCAAACAGCCTCAAGACAGCAGCCACCCTCCCTCCAGCAGGTCAGAAAGTCCATCCGACCGCCTGAGGTTCAGGCGGTGCTGTTGGATCCAATGGCGTCGATGTCGGCCTATACCGTCGCCTGGACTGATCGATCGAAGCGGTGAGCCAAAGCGTAAAGATCAACAGGTTCCTTATATACCTGGGCCCCCGGCTTGGGGTGGTTAGTGGGCACCCCTTAACCTCTAAGGGGCTATCATTAGGCACCCCTTAAGGATCCTTAAGGAGGCCCAGGTACATGGTTTTTTGCATGTTCCAATCTCCTATCTACTCCTGGAGGACTGAAGAGAAAGGTTTTGGGAAAACCGATCCTCCACCCAACCCGAAAACCGGTGGTCGACCTGAATGATATCCACACCCGAATGCAACCAGGACCCCATGAAATCTTCAGGGGAGTTTCTCATGTTTCCAACTGGACTTCCACGCTCTGGTCTCCACACGATTTCTCACCACGGTCACCCAGTCACCCGCTGGTGTCCTTTGCTGCTCTGGCTATAACCTCGCGACACCGCCGTCGAGGTCACCCTTTGGGCGATGCCCTTGACCTACGAAGCGCCGTCGAGCCGCGGTGCCTGGACTCTGGACCTGGAGGACGGTGATGGGCCCATCGTCACCAGTGCCTTGGGACGAGCCATGGACGAGCCATGTGACCAGGTGACCAGCATGCGTGCGTTCAAGATGGGTGCTGTATTCGAACGGTGGTGGCAACATGTGGCAACAGCTTTCAGCAAACGTGGAGGTGTTAATGGCTTGAATTGGAATATGGTACTTGTAGCATGTGTGAAGGGATGGTGTCTAAACTTCAGTGTGGCGGAGGCAGTGTTTTTATTTGGAGCAGTGACATCAGTGTTCTGTTCATGCAACAAGATCCAAAATGCTGTGCCGAGTGCTTGAGGATTGTACCTGAGAGACGTTTGAAAGAGGTCCCAGGTGAAGGCTATGCTGATCTATGTCGAGGGCCTATAAATTCATTCGACACCCACATGCTTTGCCTCAGACTTCCTTGTAACTACGGGCTTTTCCGGCGCCAAAAGCGGGGCGAGTCGCTGGCCTCGTAAGGCAATGAGGGTTTTCAGTTGCCTTTGCCGGCATGGCCCTTGCCGTCCATCGCCGTGCAGTTGGATATGGCCAGCCCTCCACCAGGCTGAGTCAGGGGCCAGGGCGGCTGGGGGGGTCCGGTGTATGCTGTTCGGACGAGGGCTGATCAGGAAGAAACCCACACACACACATACACACGTATGCCATCCTAGCATAGTTTTAAATTCATGTCATGTTGATCTTAGAAGAACAATGCGGCTGCATTTGCACTTAGATGCTGGGCTATTCCCACCAAACAACTTATTATGGGGTGGGTGGCTATTACGGATTTGCACAAGAGATATTAACTTCGCGCCGGCATACAATCTGATAATTAGAACCAGCATATGCTGCAACAACCCGAATTGCACGGCTCCACTCACAAAAAAGAGACCATAAAACCTTCCCTTTTGTCCCTAGGGCCCCGGGCCCAGATCCTCAGAAGGTGCTTAGACCCTCACAGCACAATCAGCACCAACCATCTTCTAGATCTTCTAGACGGAGGGGGGCGGCCACAAGCCCTCAGAACGGCTCTTTACCAGATGCACCACCGGCCCGCCCCGTTGTGCCCTACCGGTCCGGTGCTTTGGGAACTCTCTGGTCGTCAGGAGGGCGGACCTACGTGCAGCTCGGAGTGGCACCTTGGATCGGCGCTGGACAGGTGCATTTGCTGTTGGAACCTCCTCCCGGATGGCGTGGCATGGCGGATTTCGACCTCGCGTGGGGGTTGTTGGGAGACTTCTGGGGATGGAGTCTTGATGTCATAAATTAACCAATCCCTCACCATTTGGAGTGTAACTTAGTGTAACACCTGTTCAGGCTTGGGGGGTTGACATACATTCAAGGATGTACCATGAAACATGCCATGCATGCATGCATGCATGCATGCATGCATGCATGCATGCCCTCAAGTACCAAAAACCCCTTGGAGACCTTTGGAGAGATGTTGAGGGAAAAACAGCATGTGACCAGCACCCCCCACAGTGCAGCACCGCCCCGAGGGCTTGGCGCTTCCACCAGCCCTTTGGTCTCGTTGGGCTTCGCAGACCTCACCGGAGGCGAGGACATCCGGGTGGGGCTTGGCGCTTCGGGTCCCGCCCTAGTCACCAACTCCTGGGAAACTCACATGGCATGGGCCCCTTGGAGGATGTTCCTCTACAAAAACAGGGGATTTCCCACTTCCATGTGAGTTCCAGGGATGGCGGTTGATGGGGCTTTGGACTGCTTGGATGCAATAGAGGGGATGCCCCAAATGCACAACCAACTCGTGCAGGGTACCTGGCACCAGCCCCTCTATTCCATATTCTTCCCAAATTGGCGCAGGCTTTTTGTTTCGGCTCCGGGCGTGGCCAATGAGTTACGGACATATGCATATCAATGATCACTACTAGGTGTAGAAGTAGAATGAGGCCCTTGGAGAAGACTCGACAAGTTTTTCTTCCAAATTGAGGCTTGAGCAGGAGGAGCCTGATCAAAAAATCCTTCGGGAATCATAGATGCTAGATAAAATTCATGTGTTTCAGAGGACCCACAAGAGGAAACCGCAAGGCCACAAGAGCATAGTTTCCTAACCCAGTGCTGATGGGAAGGTTCAATTGAAGGGGACTGGGCCTGGCCTTCTTAGAATGGCGGTTTGGCCAAAAGAATACCTAGAGTGGCCGAGGTGTTTTGTTCTGTTTCGATGCACCGAAAAGCCCAGAAGCCAAGCGACTGCACCTGCGTCAGTCCCAGACACAACCACAGTATGGAATCGTTATATACTTACTTTTACCACCGCTGGTGCCATTTGACCCCTCTAAACTTGATCGAGCCTGGTTTTTGGCTGAATAGGTTGGCTTGGGACGGGATCCCTTTACCCCACTGATGACCCATGTCGGTACCGCTTTCAGTCTGGACATACACCCTGGAAGACTAACATGGAACCTGAAAACCCCTGGTTGGTAGAGGAAAACATGCAAAAACCGTCTTCCCTGGGACGTCAAGGACGTGGTCTATGTTAGTTCCAGGGAGAGTATGCCTCTTGGCAACGACTCCAGCTTTTCCTCCAGGTTGGGAGGCCCAGTTCGAAGCTTCGGCCTCCCTGTGGACCACCACGGACACCAGGCGCGGCAGCGCGTGGGACGCCGGAAACGAACCGCCCGACGGCCCGAGGGTCAGAATGGATTGACTACCTGGGCCCCCGTGGAACGTGAGGGGTCTCCTCTCACATTTTGGAAAGAGGATCTTTTGTCCCAGATCTTTTCATAGCCATGCCAGAGGAGGGGAGATGGCCATGACTCCCCATGCCCTGAGAGATGGCCATGACTCCCTGATCTTTTCATATCTTTTCTCTTTAAAGAACATGTGTAGACTAAATGCAAAGCCATTTTGCTGCGTTTGTTGGGATCGCCCATGGGCATGACAATCATTTCTCAGACGTCAGACTATTTGGCGACCGGATGCAGCCGGGATTTGTCTTCCTGGAGATTGAACGTTTGAATATCATTTTTCTTAGAAGCTTGACATGTTTGCAGCATGCAGTCCCCCTACAAAATAGACGATTATGGCGCGGGCCTTATGTTTTTGTGGTTGAACAATTCCTCGAGCATCATCATGCCAGTTCTGCCATCATTCTTACAAACAGTGACTAGATATTGGCCAGACTCTTGGTATCTCTTGGTAGTTGAGTATTCTTGTAGCAGGGAACCATTATGATTCAGTCTTGGAACCACCTTTCAATAGCTCCGAAATTTCATGAAGCCCGACATCCCTATTCGACCAAGTGTACTTGACATCATGAAGTCCAGCATCTTCGAGGCTTCCTGGATCACCCAGCGAATCACCCATAAACTACCCTACACTACTGATGGACCTCCAGCCAGGACACCCATAGGATGAGCCTAGTGAGAGATGATGAAAGTGACATCATCCTTCTGTATGGGTCACCTGGCAACCGACCCTGGCACGCCCAACCCGGGGCTGCCACTCCAACACGCCATGCCTTGGCCGTGAGCCACGTCCATCGAGGTGGTACTTGCTGGCCACGGCGGACGTGCCGATCTTCTCAAAGGGCGAGCCACCGGGCCTGCAAGGGAAACCGATGGGGTTCCGCCTCAGGGATAAAGTGTGTCCTCCACGTGTTCCAACTGCCATGTTTTGCAAGCTTTCATTACAGATGGAACATGCGAGATGTTGCATAGTTGGAAGAGATCTAGGTATAGGGTTAATAAAACATGTCACATGAAGAGTGAAGAGGTTTTACAATCCGCCAAACTTACCCGAAGTGTCTAAAGATAAGCAAGATGCGTTTATCCAGCATGTACGTTACGCCCTGTTCAGGGGTAAACCATTCGACAGTATATAAAACACCCAGATGCCTCCTAAATTAGATGCAGATCGCCTGGTTTTCTCTCAGATAGTGTTCAGCCCATCTTGAAAACAGGTTCCAATTCGGAATTCAGAGACCATGCCATCCATGCCTTGTTGTTCGTAGACGCCTGGTTCCCGTAGAGTGATTCTTTTAATGTGTACGTTTTTCTGTCTAGTTTGTCATTCGTGGTCTCACACCATTTACCCACCAGTACCCGCTGGAAATCCAGCAAGGGATTGCGTGGGGGGCGCGTCGATTACCGTCCGCAAGTCCGTGCATCCACATGAGGCGGGTGTTTGGGAATCAAGAGTCTACATTAGGTTCGCTTTAGACACCTCTTTCCTTTAATCTTTCGGAGGGACGCACTCTTGGACGGTGTTTCTTGAACCCTATTCCCTTGGCTTCTGGGCACCTCCATTGCACCAGGTTGTTGACCCCCGTCCTCAGCTGGTCCCATGTGGATGGTGCCAACGTGGCGCCGATGCAAACCACGATCCAACACGCGAACCTGGCGGACCTCCAGTGGCGAAGCTAGAGAGAAGCGGGGAGAGTAGGGCAGAAAAGGGTAGAAGGTGGTTGATGGCATAGCACGGTCAGCAACGAGAAGTTGAGTGTCCCGAACCCCCCCCCCAAAAAAAAACCTGTGAAACGGCATGGTTTTCTGACCCTTTGCATGTTGGAGTTGGGGCCAACCCCCCCTCGTGTACCCAACATGTTGATTCCAAATTCTCAAGAAGCTTTTGGATCATCCGGATGCTCGTCTATAGGTCTATAGGGCCTTTGGGGTGTCGTGCCATCGATGGAATGGAATGTACAGCGAACAGCTCTTGCGCCGCGCGCGCTTGCGCATGCTTGCACAGCAAAGCGATCATCCGATAGACGACGTCGTAGTGATGTCGATGACTCGCGGACAGCCTGACTCAATGTTCTCGATCAATGAGTTAGTACCTTCGATCATGTTGATACACACAGCCCATCCAAAAGCACGGTAATTGAATGTAATTGATAAATATGCAAGTTCCGGTCTGTCATGTATCCTTTGTCCTCCAATTTGCGAAAGGACGATCAAAGCGAGCCTGAAACGCTACCTCTCAAGCCTCAAACCCTAGAGCCTACCATAACCTACCCCGCGGATTCGGGAATGCTGATCATGATCCTTTGCCCACACACCACCCAAGCTGGATAACTACAAGCACAGCTGCCAGGCATGGGGCTCTTGGGCAACCGGCTCTTAAGGGCTACAAGCTGCTCACACGCAGCGGACCCCGCACTAAAACGAACAGCTGGCACGTTTGGTTCACCTTTACTGTCATGAGATTTGCTCGGGAGTCAGGCAGCGTCACCCAAAAGTATACTGGAAACCGTTCTCGTCGCTGGCAACGTCGGCCGACGTCAACACATCAACTGGCCCTCGCAGCTGGTTGAAGGGTCCAGCTAGGTCCACACCCACTTATTATGATGGG